AGCGCCATGCTCTTCCTGCCCCTCCCCCACAGCTGCCTGTGGCCACCAGCGCAGGAACTGAGGGCCCGAGAGGAAACAGGGTGAGGGGGACCCCAGGCCTTGGTAGCCCTGGCTTCCGAGTCATGTACCTGACAGCCCTGAGGACCCTGCGGGATCTCAGAACTGGAAGGTGGGTCCCGGGGCCGGCGCTGTGGTGTAGCGGGTAAAGCAGCCGCCTGAAGTGCCCGCATCCCATATGGGCACTGGTTCTAGTCCCGGCTGCTCCACTTCTGACCCAGCTCTCTGCTGTGGCCTGGGAAAGCAGTAGAAGATGGCCTAAGCCCTTGGGCCCCTGCACCTGCGTGGGAGACCCGGAGGAGGCTCCTGGCTCCTGGCTTTGGATCGATGCAACTCCAGCCGTTGTGGCCATCTGGGGAGTGAACCAGCGGATGGAAGACCTCTCTCTGTAATTCTACCTCTCAAACAAATATATGAAATCTTTTTTAAAAATAAGAATAAATAAAGAGCTGGTGTTGAGCTAATGCCTGCAGAACGAGCGCCCAGGGCACCCAGGACCCCGAGCGGCCTTGGCTGCAGTGCACCCCGTCGCAGCCCCCGCCCTCCTCCCTGCGCTCCTGCAGCAGCCCTGGGCGTCTTCGGGGGTGGACGGCCTATGTCAGTAAGGATAGCCCCAAGAAGCTCCCGTTCTGGTCCTTGCTCTCCCCCACACTGAGCGATGCTGGCCAGTTACGGCTCCCTCTGAGCGCCAGTCTCCTCAAGGGCAAACCGTGGGTCACATCAGCACCAATCCCACAGACTTCCGGCCAGAGAGAAGGGAGGTGACACGTGGTGCATGCTGGGAACCCAGGCAGGCACCCCCAACAGCAGCCGAGCGGCCCTCACCAGGCCCCGACCCCAGGGCTTGTCCTAGGGACTTTTAGCCTCCTCCCCTGCCTATTTCGGAGTTTGTCCCCTCCTCCGCCTCGTGAGAAGCGGGGCTGCACGGAGCAGCTTGGTCCGGGTGGCAAGCAGCTCACAAGGGGAGAAGCACTCGCCAAGGATCCACCTTGTCCGAGACCCTTACCCAGTTCACACCCCCGCTCCTCCATCATGAGACCAAGCTTGTCGCCCATTCAACAGAGGGAGCAACCGAGGCTCACGGAGGCTCTGCACCGTGTCCCCATCAAAACGGGAAGTGAGCAGCAGAAGCGGGATGCCACCCCCCACCCGCCAGACTCAGCTCCGTTGTCCGTGATCTTTCCCCTCCCTCCGTGGGGCACCACCCAGGGCCATGCAAGGAAGGTTTTTATTCATTTCAAATCGTTCCCCACCTTCTCCATCCTCCTCGCCCTGGGTGACTGGAGAGAGCCCTAGCAACATGGCTTGAAGACCCTGGATCCAGCCGTGCCTGAGAGCAGCCCCTGGAGTTTTAGTGACATGAGCCTTGCGCTTTTGTGCAGGTCCTGGGTTTCCCACCCACCTGCATTCAAAATCCTGACCCTGTCATCCAGGGAGAGGAGAAAGAGGCAGAGAGGCCCCCCGGGGGTCGCACCTGTCACCTCTTTCATAAGGTGATGGGGTTGGGGGGATTACAGCCAGACCTCACCCAGGAACCCCTGGATGGCTCCCAGCCCAGCCCAGGGCCCCACCCCAACTCATATCAGGCGCGCCAGCTCTGGCACCCCCACGTGGCCAGTTCGCTCCTCTTGTGGGGGGCAAAGGTCGCCCCCATTCCATGGTTCCTGCAGGAGATCTGGCAGGGCCCAACAGAGTCCAGCCACTCCACCCTGCCACAGCACGGGGCGTGGCTGGAGAAGGCAGTCTCTCCAGGGGTAACTTCCGTCTGGTGGTGCTGGCCAGCAGCCAGATCGCCACCTTCCCCGGGTGCCGAGTCCCCCAAACACTGCACTGAGACGCTGCAGACCCGAGTCCCCAAAAGGGCCCCTATAACAGTTGCTTACGCATCCACCTGAACGTGGGCTAAAATCCCTCATTCTGCTTATCCATCACCCTATTCCCATCATTCGTCTCAATAAACATTCCCAAACCACTTGGCTGATCTCACCTCTCCATGCACAGCTTCTCCTTGTCAAATGGGAGTAAGAACAGGGTCCGCGTGATAGGACGGCTCGAGCATCCAATCACACAGGGCATAAGGCATCTGCTCCCGGCACATGGTAAGTGCTCCATAAACACCCGTACGCAACAGCAAAGAAAATGACCCCTGGCTCTACCGACAGCCATGTGGATGGAAAGAGGCTGCTCGCAAAGGATGCACCCGCCCAGCCCGATACTACTGACAGTTTTAAAATCCGCAAGACATGGGCCTGGTGTTGTGTTACAGAGGTGAAGCCACCACCTGCAAGGCCAGTGTCCCACAGGAGTGCTAGTTTGAGTCCCAGCTGCTCTGCTTCTGACGCAGCTCCCTGCTAATGCGCCTGGGGAAGCAGCAGCAGACGGCCCACATGGTTGTGTCTCTGCACCCACGTGGGAGGCCCAGATGGTGTCCTGGAATCCTGGCTTTGGACTGGCCCAGCCCCAATTGTTGCAGCCATTTGGGGAGTGAACCAGCTGATGGAAGATCTCTCTTACTCCCTCGCTCTGTAAATCTTTCAAGTAAAATAAATTTTTTTAAGATTTATTTTATTTATTTGAAAGACAGAGAGAGAGGTAGAGGCAGGGAGAGAGGTCTTCCATACACTGGTTCACTCCCCAAATGGCCACAACAGCCGGAGCTGCACATCCGAAGCCAGGAGCCAGGAGCTTCCTCTGGATCTTCCCACGTGGGTGCAGGGGCCCAAGGACTTGGGCCATCTTCTACTGCTTTCCCAGGCCATAGCAGAGAGCTGGATCAGAAGAGGAGCAGCTGGGGCTAGAACCGGTGCCCATATGGGATGCCAGCACTTCAGGCCAGGGCTTTAACCCATTGCACCACAGTGCTGGCCCCCGAATAAAGTAAATATTTAAAAAATGAATAATATAGGGGCCGGTGCTGTGGCATAGTGAGTAGGGCCACCACCTGCAGTGCCAGCATCCCATATGGGTGCCAGTTCGAGTCCTGGCTACTCCACTTCCAATCCAGCTCTCTGCTGTGTCCTGGGAAAGCATCAGAAGATGGCCCCTGCACCTATGTGGGAGACCCAGAAGCTCCTGGCTTCGGATCGGCACAGCTCCAGCCATTGCAGCCAACTGGGGAGTGAACCAGAGGATGGAAGACCTCTCTCTGCCTTTCCATCTCTCTCTGGGTAACTCAGATTTTCAAATAAATAAATCTTTAAAAAATAAATAATATAAAACCTGCAAGACAGTAATGCCCATGGCCACAGGAGATACGTATGTATTGATGTAGTTTACTGTGAGCTCCCACTATTTGCAGATTCATCTATGTGCTAGAAATCCCCCAGGCATGGTTGGAGCCCTAGCTGGGTGCTGGACTTAGGGGAGCCCCTGAGGTCTCCCACGGTCTCCTCCCTGCCTGCTGGGCACCCAGACTGAAAAACTAGCCAATGTCCCCCCATACACATTCTGTGTTCTCAGCCTATGTGGACGTCATCAAGCAGCACGTGCACAAGACCAGGACTGTTGTCACCCCTGGCAGAGGCCCAGGGCCCCCAGACTGGTCCATTTGTGTGATTTTTCACACAGGGCCAGCCTCCTCCGCAAGGGTGTCAGCTGCAAAAGACAGCCTCTCGCCTGCTCCCTGCTGAACGCCATCACCACAGACACTCAGTAAGCAAGGTGGCAGTGAACATAGAATGAGCAAATCTTGCCGTACAAGGGGAGTAGCACAGGTTGACGTTGCAAAAAGGTGCCACCAGATGGCGCAGTTGCTCAGAACGAGGCCGCTCCTGTTTCAGCGTGGAGCTCATCAGGGCAAGAGAAGGTCGGGGAGCCATGGAGACCCAGGCCAGCGGAGGCTGGCAGGTCCCCCACCTGGCTCATTGGGAAAGGCCTTTCTGGACCATTCCTCACTGCCAGCCCCCATCACTCTGCTACCTGCAGGGTTTTTCTAGAACACAGCCTGGCTGTCACCTGAACAGACAGTAATCAGATAGGTGTTGTGCGGCACCGGTTCTAACCTCAGCTGTTCCACTTCCAACCCAGCTCCTTCCTGGTGTGCCTGGGAAGGCAGCAGGTGGCCCAAATCACTTCACCTCTCCTCCAATTGTCAAAGGAGGTTACACCTAGAATCCAGACTGGAGGACCAGGGAAGAGCTGTGACTAGAGCATGGAAGGGCCAGCCATTGTTACTGTCAGAGGCAGCTGCACAAACAGGAAGCGGGCCCCAAGGGCTGTGGGGAACTAGCATAATGTGGGGAACCGGCCGCAGGGTGCAGTGCCAGCTACCCGGCAGGAATGGGCCCACCAAGGCAAGAAGATCCCAAAGCCACACTGGAATCCACAACAGGAATGCTTCATGACTTCTCCCCACTCCTCCATGGCACTCGCCTCCTAAGACTACAATTAAGGAGCTGGACGGGAAGTGGAGCAGCCGGGACTCAAACCAGCGCCCATATGGGATCCTGGCACTGGCTTCACCCCTCCACCAGCCAGGACTACAATCATCTGTCCCCTTTCTTTCAGTGAAGTGCAGGATGCTTGGTAAGCTTTATTTGGCTGTTTTGGAAGCCTCAGATGGGGCGGGGCCAGGCCCAGAGAAACTGCAGGCCCCTGGGGAAACACCCAGCAGCCCCAGACCCTCCCACCAGGCTCCAGGCCTCACCTCCCAGCACAACCCACCAGGAGGCCAAGCCAGGAGCAGCTCAGTGACAGCACAGCCCATTGGTCCCCCCACTGGCAATGTCCCAGCCTGTAGGTGGGAAACCAAGGACTCCATGGCCTAGGGGAGAAGCATCCTGTGAGGGCTCAGGCGTTCCAAGCACTCCTGCCATGCCTAGATCTGTCACTCTGCCTTCCAAATATCGGAAACCAGAAACCTGGGCCAAGCAAATAATCCAACTGCGCGCTGTCACCACTGTTCAGTGTTTGTCTCCTGCGGGCCAAGTACAAGGACATTCTGATTAAGAATTTTTAAAGATTTTTATTGTTTCATTCCAAACAGGCTACAGAGGTAAGACGTTCTCCCCAAGTCTGATAACGCAGATTCCTTGCGAAGCGGGGGTGAGCTTGCTCCTCAGGCTCAGGTCAGGGGCCTCGTGCGGCGGCTTCACAGCACATTCTAGAAACACAAGCAGTGGCCATCAGTGGTTGCACTGTGCTCGTTAGGGACTACGTGTCAGGGACATGGAGCTTTCTGGACAAAGTCCACCCACAAGGCAGATGCATACATCACTCTGCACCTTGAACATTGTACTTAATTATCTTGACCTAAAAATGAGTTTTTCCTGGTAACATGGGGTTAGAAAAATCTAGACAACTAAAAATGACAGACCATAGGATCATCTCTGATTCCCAATACATAAGCTAAATTTAAATGCAGCTACAAAAGAACATGGACATCCAAAACGCACAGTGGATAAAGCCACCATCCCGTATGGGTCAAGTCCTCATTGGTCCACTTCCTATCCATTCTCCCTGCATTAGCCTGGGCCCTGCCTCCCATGTGGGAGACCAGCTGAAGCTCCCGGCTCCAGCTGCTGCAGCCAGCTGGGGAGTGAACCAGTGGATCTTTCCTCAAACTGCCTTCCAGCACTGTGACTACAGAACTATTTTATAACGCGTCTGAGGTCAACACTTCTAATCTCAACTACTGCCATACCTGCAGGGACAGGTGTGGTGGCCCACGTTCCAGTCCAGCTCCTGCTGGTGTGTCCACCTTCAGCACAGTCTGGCCCCAGCCGCTGGCATCTGCCTTTCACCTAAAAATTTCAGAAAGTGAGACCCTGAGTAACGAGGGAACCACACATTTGATCCACTGAGAAAACATTCATTTCTACACACTTGAAGGTCTGTATGTAACAACTATCAGCTGAATCCCGACTGTCAGGTGACCTCCTTATAGGCCCTAGGGTGCACATCACCTTGCTATGGGATCGAGGGCGGAAAGCAGCGAACTCACCTGTTACAGGACGAAGATCAGACACCGACGCACTGCCACACAGACTCCTGATCTGTAGGGAGAGGACAGAGCCAAGATGACCTCTGAGCAGAAGAACCCAGAGCCAGCACAACCCACACTAGAGTGCAGGGAAGCAGGACCAGAGCTCCTGTGTGGCCAATGCATCAGACAAAACTGGCTAATCGTGTAGTTAGATCAACAGGGTCGATCTGATGGGGAAAAAAGTTATGTCATCACCTGCAAGGGCCGCGTGAGTCTGGGCGAGTACAACGCCCAGGAGGCAATCCCCGAGCTGAGGGCCACCTGGGCTCAGCTTACCTTCCCCACAGGGGTCACCTAGGTCCCTCCCAAGCATGGCGTCCGCCGAGAACAAACCTGCGAAGAAAACAGAGGCGAGCTGCCGTCACCCCGGCGCCTGGGCCGGCAGGATCCGGCGTGCTGCCGAGGCTGGCGGGTCAGACAGAAACTGGCTTAGAGAAGGTAGATCAACACGGTCGATCTGCCGGGGAAAAATCCAGTCATCATACACGCCAGCGGGGAGCTCGGTGGGCACGCTCCTGCCCCACACCACTTCGGAACCTCTGCTGTCAGAGCTTCCACTGTCCGAGTAACGGCTCTGGCTAAGGCGAGAACATTCCAGGGCCGCGTCCACAGACAGCACACCCTGGAAGTACCTCACTGCTGCACGAGTGCAAAGAAATTTAGATGCCTGATCAAAGACGGCCCAAGTCTCTGGGCCCCAGCAGCCACATGGGCGACCCGGAAGATGCCCCTGGCTTCGGTCTGGCTCAGCCAGAGCTATTGCAGCCACTGGGGAGCGAACCAGCGGGTGGAATACCTCTCTCTGTAACTGCCTTTCAAATTTAAAAAAGTGGCATTAAAGATTTTAAACATCACTTCTCTAAGGCTGCTTCACTTTGGAAACGTCTCTTAAAGGATTTCTTCTCTAGGAACTTATCAATGAATTATGATACAAAACAAAGCACTTTTAAAGAACTGTGGGGTAGGCTATGCCTACAGGGCCCGAAACCCACATGGTTGCTAGTTCCTATCCAGCTCCCTGCTTATGTGGCTGGGAAAGCATCAGAAGATCGCCCAAGATCTGGGCCCTGCAGCCACGTGGGAGACGCGGCCGCAGCTCCTGGCGCCAGCCTGGCCCAGCCTCTGCTGTTGCGGTCATTTGGGACGTGAACCAGTGGACGGAAGACCTCCGCACCTCTGCCGTTGCAATCAGTAAACCTCTACGTAGAGGACCAGAGCCAGCTCTAAGCCCCCGGTCCTGCAGGCCCCGCCTCATCAGGGTGCAGGCTCACGTTCCGGGCCCTCGCTCCAGACGTGGCTTCCTGCTAGCGCGCCGGAGCAGACGGTGGGTGCCCAAGTGCGGGGCCGGGGACACACTGGGGGCGAACCGCTGACTCCTCACTCCGGAAGTGACGACCCCAACAGGACCAACTACCCAATGCTCAGTTTAACCCCCGGAGGGAGCTCCGCGAAGCACGTGTCCCCACGACACGCTTACCCTGCAGACCGAGGTTCGAGGCCCGCATCTGGCGCTCCCGCGCAAGCCCAGGTCACTCCGGCCTCCCACGTCCGTGCCGTCCCCTCGGACCTACGAGAGAAGGGATCGGTCGCCATCTCCCCACGCCCAGAGCCGACCAGCGCGGCCTTCCGCGGCTGGCGTATCAGAATCAACTGGCAAGCGTTCTGAGACCTCAGCATGGCCGATCTGACGGGGAAAAAAGTGAGGTCATCATGTACACCAGCCGCGCCAGTTCCTCCGCCCGCGGCCTTGGGGCGACCCCAGGGGAGACGGGGGGGACCTGCGCAGAGTCGACGAGACGGCCGGGGTAAAGATGGAGCGCAGCTGGGCCTTCACTCACCACACACAAAGCGGGGCTTCGACACTGGGAGACATCGTGCGAGAGACCACGATGCTACAGGGCAACCCCGAGCCAACCGCCGCCGACGCGAAAGGACAGACAGGGACGAGGCCCGCCCTTATATAATCATAGAGCTTCGTGCGCCTGCGCACTCGGCTCGAAACGCGCCGCGCGGGGCCCCCTGGGAAATGTAGTCTCCGGGTCGCGCAGCGCTCTAATGGTCGGCAAGGCCGCGTCTAGCCCCGCCCCCTTCTCTGGACACAGCGGGCCGCCCGGGCTTCTCGGCTTCACCGCCATGTCGCTCCTCAAGCGCACCAAGCCGCCCGCCGGGTCCCCCGTCCGCCGGGACCGACTGAGGCCCGCGACGGCCTTGGGCCCAGTCCGCCCGCCCCCCGCAGTCCCCTCCCCTCAGCCGCGCCCTCCGGAGCCCGCCGGCCCCGCCGCTGGGGGGAGCTGAGGCGACAGCCGCCGCCGGGGTGGGGGGCTGTGGCGCCGCTGCCGGGGCCCGGCCCCCGCCCCCTCCTCCTCCTCCTCCGGGCCGCCCGCCCGGCGCCTCGCCCCGCCCAGAGCCTGCGGGGAACGGAAACCGAAAGTGCGCGGCGCCGGGCGGGGCCGCCGACCAGCCAGGGCCGGAGCGCGAGCTTCAGCCGGCGGCGGCGAGAGGACGCGCCGGAGACGGGTGAGTGGCCCCTGCCCCAGCCCCGCACCTGCTGGCCGCTCCCGCGACCCCCGGCGCCCGGAGCCGCTCCGCCACTGCCGCCTCGGAAGCCCCGGTGCCCCCAGCGCCTCTGCTCGGCATCTTCCTGTCCCCAGCGCCCGTGACACCCCGCAGCCCCGGAGCCGCTGTCCGGCCCTCGGCCCCAGCCCTCCCCCCTGCGCGCCCCCCGCCGCCGCCCCCTGCACCTCCCCGCCTCTGCCTCCGGCCTCGCTATCGGGGTTCCCCCTGGTCCTCACCCCCGTCTGGTGCCGGGCGCGCTCAGCACCCCGCCCGCCGCCCCTGCCCGAGTCCAGCTCTGGGCCCCCGGTGCCCTGCTGCTGCCTGGGGATGGCGCCCCCCGCGCCCCGAGGCCGCCACCCCGCAGCCCCGGCACCTCCGGCAGTGCCCGGGCCCCTCAGGACCCTGGAGACTTCCCCCCGGGCCCCCGCCCCGGCACCGGCGTGACCGTCACTCATCTTCCTCTTCGTGCCCCTTAGGCCTTGAATCATCAAAAAACCCACTTTAGCCTGTTGTTTTCGTGCGTTTCCTGTTTCTCTCCGGTCCGCTCTTCCTAACATGTCTTCTGTCGCTTCTAAGCCAGGAATTTTCTGGGCCCGTTTTAATGTTTTTCAGCAAGAGGAAGAAGGGATTTCCCCCTCTGAAAATGTTTAAAAATCAGAAAAGAGAGCCTCCGCGTGTTGGAGCCTGCGGGGGTTAGGATGAGGGAAGAGGCAGCCCCAGGGGAGAGCCCCGGCTCCTTTTTCTGGTGAGGGTAGAAGCGCCCCTCGTATAATGCCAAACCCATTCGCAGTTTCCGGCCGTGAATATTTTAGAACTCAATGGGGACGCTCTCAGAAAAGCCTCGCTGAGCCCTGAGTCACCTCGGTCCCAGCCCTTGCGATGCGGGGGCTTGGACTGAGAAGTTCCCTTTAGGGGGCTTCCTTCCTGGTACTCTTGTGGGACCCGTGTTGAGACAGAGAAAGGAGAAGAATTGGGGCTGCTAGCTGGTTCTTGTAGATGCTAGGCCTTGTGATGGAAGCCTCCTGTACTGAAACATGCACTCTGTTTGTCTTGATTCAGTGGAGTGGAGGGCTCCTTCGTTTGGCTGTGTTCCCAAGAGTAGGATGAGGCTAACTGCTCACTAATTATGTGCAAACCATAGGGTTCCCCAAGCTGTGGAGCACAGTGTGGCGTACATGCCAGGTTGGGGGCCAAGTGCAAGGTTTTGGATTGACAACTATGCATTCCTTTCTGCCCTGGCAACATTAGTTGTCTGCTTTATGAGAGAGGAAACCGAAACCTAGTAACTGCTTCAGTAAGGTAGCTAACAGCATACACCCCTTGAGTGGGAATTGGCTCCTCCTCCTACCCCCAAGAAGGGGGAATTTGGACACTTGAGATCACCGAAATTGTGCATTTCATGTTCTCCATCCTAATTGGGCCCCACAGCATTGAGCACTCGTGCCTGTGGTTTAGCTCTGCATTTTACTCTTAGTTATAAGTCGCTAAAACGCAGAGGCAGCGGGACAGGCTTCCTGGTGCTCGGCTTCTGCTGTTAGGGGCTGTGTTTCAAGAGCAGTGCTGATTCTCACCCTGTGCAGTGTCCCGGAGAACTGAAAGCCACGGGAACTTGGAGGAATTCAAGTGACGCAGACATGGAGGACAGAAGACCTCGGCTGGAGGCCAGGCCCAGGAATCCCCATACCAACCAAAGAGGTGAGCGAGGTTTCCTAGCTCAAGAGAAGCAGATTCTGGAAGTAAGAGAAGGCGTCAGGTTCCCTATGAACGCGCAGGCTCACCAAAGATTGCCTGTATCTCTCCAGGAAAGCTTAACTTAGTCCTTAGCTACAGCATGAATGACTGAAAAACAGGCAGCCCTGCTCTTTCCCTAAGAGACCTGCTGAGTGGGTGCAGCTCGCGTTAGCAACAACAGTAATAAGATGCCAGAAAGGGAAACAACTTTGGTCTAGAGCAGCACGGTCCAACAGAAATGCAAGGCAAAAACATGATTTTTAATTTTCTAGTAGCGTCGTTTTAAAAAGTAAGAAAAAGATGAAATTTATTTTTCAAATTTAATGCTCATTTAATGAAGTTTATTCTGGTGTCTTAGCCCAATATATCAAAATGCTATCTTTTTTTTAAAAAGATTAATTTCATTTATTTCTTTTTTTGAAAGTCAGAGTTACAGAGAGGCAGAGGCAGAGAGAGAGAGGTCTTCCATCTACTGGTTTGATCCCCAAATGGCCACAACAGCTGGAGCTGGGTTGATCCAAAGCCAGGAGCCAAGAGCTTCTTCCAGGTGTCCCATGCAGGTGCAGAGGCCCAAGCACTTAGACTACCTCCTATTGCTTTCCCAGGCCATAGATGGATTGGTAGTGGAGCAGCTAGATCTCAAGCCGGCATCCATATGGGATGCCAGCACTGCAGGTGGCTGCTTTACCTGCTACACCACAGCACCGGCCCCAAAATGCTATTATTTTATCAGAAAATTAGTTTTAATAATATTTTTGTTTCCCCAAATACTCGGATGTTATTATTTTAAGATGTTATCCATAGGGACTGGTGCTGTGGCGCAGCTGGTTAAGCCACAGCGTACAACACCAGCATTCCATAGTGACACCAGTTCAAGTCCCAGTTGCTCCACTTCTGACCCAGCTCCCTGCTAATGCTCCTGGGAAAGCAGCAGAGGATGGCCCAAGTCCTTGGGCCCCTGCACCCTTGTGGGAGACCTGGAAGAAGCTCCTGGCTCCTGGCTTCGGTCTGGCCCAGCCCTGGTTGTTGAGGCCATTTGGGGAGTGAACCAGCAGATGGACGACTCCTTTCTCTGTCTCTCTTTCTCTCTCTGGTAACACTTTCAAATAACTAACTAAATCTTTTTTAAAAATGTTATCAGTAGAAACATTTAATGAAATATTTAATTTTTTGATACTAAATCTTAAAAATTCCATGTGAATTTTACACAAATGAATTTGGACTAGCCACATTTTGCATGATTCGTAGCCACGTGTGGCCAGCGGCTTTGTATTGCATTGCGCAGGTCTAGAGTCCGAGCCGTCAAAGCAGAGCGACTTCCGTGCAGGCACTCACTGTGCTCAGAACGTCTGAGCAAACAGCTCCCGTGTTCCATCCAGTTTGCAGCGTGTCCTCTTAAGTTGTAGCTGTGTTACAGTTGAGGAACAACTCTGACTGTATTTTGTGAGCTGTATGAATGTTGAAAGAAGGAGAAATGTTAGAATTTTCTGCTCTCCCAAGACTGTAATCAAATCAAAATATTAAAAGAAGAACTTCTGTATTTTGGGAATTTGAAAAGTAAATATGAACATAGCAATTATTAAAAAGTTAAGAGTTCAGTTACATTTTACCATATATTCCTTTATGTTGTCACATTAACATTTTCTCTACAGAGTACAAAATGGGAAACTACACATAAATGGACTTAGCATCTGATGTCCAGAAATGATATGACCATCTCAAAAATAATGTGCATTTACAGCTTTTAGAGCATTCTCTATCATTAAATCACTGTGTACAGTCCTATTTGTTTGTTTTTAAAATGCCCATGTTATTCTGCTAAGTTTGGTCAGCTCCAGAGTCCATTGGAGAGGAAAGGAAAGTGAGAAAAACTGGACTTGGGTATACTGGGCAAGGTCACTTAGGAAACGCGCAGCAGATCCAGCAGGAGTTTGGCCCCTGTGCAGTGAGGGCGTCCCCGCCCCCGGCTTCCCGCGTGAGCGTGACAGTCAGGACCGGCAGGCTGAACTCAGGCTGCAGAAGGGAAGAGAACTTAGGTTTCACTTTTCGGTTTCCTGCCTCTAAATGTGAGTTTCGTTTTCCTGATTCACAGTCTGCAGCTCAGAAATATCTTGGTAAAGGAAGCCACACCTCCCTCTTTCCCATTCTTTCCCATTCAAACTGCATTTGCTGACGTTAGGCAAAGTCGGGTAGTGTTTTTCCTTCATAGTTTTATTCCACTTGATAAATGTATTATGGTAAATGTTTAGCAGAATCAGAGTCGGGAGGGTGTTCCTTGCTTCAGTGTGTCAGATGCTATACATTACCCATAATAAGCAGTGTATAAACATTTAATCTTTTTTTAAGATTTATTTATTTATTTGAAAGTCAGAGTTACACAGAGGAGAGGGAGAGAGAGACAGAGAGAGAGAGAGGTCTTCCATCCGATGGTTCATTCCCCAGTTGGCCACAACGGCCGGAGCTGTGCAGAATCTGAAGCCAGGAACTTCTCCCACGTGGGTGCAGGAGCCCAAGGGCTTGGGCCATCTTCTACTGCTTTCCCAGGCCACAGCTGAGAGCTGGATTGGAAGTGGAGCAGCTGGGTCTCAAACCGGCGCCCATATGGGATGCTGGCTCTTCAGGCCAGGGTGTTAACCCACTGCGCCACAGCGCCGGCCCCATTTAATCTTTACCACAGCATAGAAACTGGGGGAACTTGGCTAAG